ATTTTGCTCCTTGGGATAGCCCTTTGCCTAGCATGTTTTCACCCTTCTCTTTGAATTTAGGAATGTTTTGTGGTGCTTCTGACAAAATGAAGAGAAACCACTTTGCATGATTTTCCATGCTCCTACTGTACAAAATATGTAAAGAAGGAGCTGCTTCTACTTAAGATCTCTCTAACATCATTAATTTGTTTTAAATATACAGAATATCATGAAGATAAGTGTCAGTTGTTGGACTGTCTAATATCATGTAACTGTCATTGTGATCATTTTAAGGAAATGCATGTCCATCACTGCTGCAGACATTACTATTCATTAGAAAATCATTTTCAGTGTAGCTTATTGAGAAATATTGATACCGATTTTTAATAAGATAATTTATTAAAGACAGAGAACAAAATTTTAAAAAGAAAAAAATATATATTGTGAAAATCTCACTAAAGAATTGTTTGTTTATTGAGTTTGAGAAGGAGCCATGAGATCGTCTTGCTGACCTTTTGTATGTCATTACATTTTACCTCATTTCTCCATATGAGTCTCAGTAACATCTATTCAGTTCTTTTATATATATATACACATATAAATTATCCAAGAAGTACATGGTAATATTTACATTATTTGACATTTTGAAGAGATTTTCTACATAAGCATGAAGAAAATAAAGGTAATTCTCAAAATACCTTTCATAAGATACAGTTTTTTAGTTTTCTTTGTGTTAAAAATAATTTTAAAAAAAGTTTGAGATCTATTTTAATCATGATAAATGCTCTAAAGCTGCACCTGCTGTCTCTGAGAGTGATTCAATTCCAAATAAATTACTGTGAATCAATCCTTAAAGCATATATATCCATATTTGACATTTTTATTACAGCAGGCAAAACGAGCTGCTGCATGTTTTTAAATTCATTTGAAGAATTAATGCATCATAAAATAAGGCTTCAGTGTTTACTTTCAGCCTGTCTCTCAGTTGTTTGGCAAAAATAATTGAGCTGACCTTGACTGTATTTTTTCGGAATGGCACTTTAGAAACTCTTTCTGAATAGCAATCTTGTACATTCTCTTTATCCCATCCTGTGACAGAGAACAGCCGGTCACAGTCAAAAGCAGCAGGGAAAGCGGAACAGAGACGGAGTTTTCCAAATGGATCGACCCTTTGGAAATTCTTTGTTCTACTTCCAGGGAGGAGAAAAGTAAATGATAAGACAAGATGTTGTGTTAGAACAATCAGTTAATAAAGCTAGGTGATCTTCATAATTGTCTTTAGTTGTTTGTGATTTTCTTTCTTCTCAAGTACTAGTTACTATTGTACCTAATACCCATTTGTACCTGTTTAGCAACAGAGAAGGTGGGAAGTCAGGGGTAAATTTGTAGATGACTCTCTTGCAGTAAGTGCTTCATACTATTTTTAAGGACTAATAGCCTCCGTGAAGCACAGTTTATATGACCTACAGTGATTGCCTGAGTGGATTTTAATTATTCCCCTTCCATTATTTATACTTTCAGTTATTTTTACACTTCTTAATTTATACCTACTAGATCAAGAGATAAAGTAGGTTTATGCAGATCTATTACTGATATGTTTGTTATATCAACATCTGTTGATGTAGCATTATTATTTTTTAAATTTAGGCTTTTCTGAGCCAATTCAACATGCAGTTAGGGTCCAGTTATGCAGCTGGTAGTATTAGCATTCAGCAGACCGTTACACTGTGTGGTATGGAGATGTTTAAAGAACCATTTTCATCCATGGTCTTAATGACTTCATCTTAATGACCTCATCTTAATGACCTGAATGACACCTGGTGGTAAACAGGTGATTATGATGATGTCAACCCGGTCATAGGCCTGAGACCGAATAAGTGCATAATAATTGGAATTACCTAATGCCCTGAATGTTTTACCAAGCAAAGATTCAAAGGATCAAAAGGGCAAGAAGGTTGAATTCCTTCTCTTGAGCTTAAATGTTGTCTCTTCAGCTGGGTTACAGAGGGCATGTTAGCTAGATCACAGGGCCACTTCCATTACACCATGGAGGTGCTCTGACCCGAGAAAAGCTTGCTAAAGTCTATTACAATTTTCTTTTATCCTCCCATCCAGCAAGACTGAAAGGAGTGAAAACTACTAAATATTTTCAGATTTTCTGGTCCTCAGGAGACATTTTGTTTATACTTAAATTTGAATTACTATTTTGATTTAAATATTTAGCTACATGCAAAACATTTGTCTTCCTTCTGCTCTCTGAAGCAGTCTGAAGCTGTCAGTTGACAGGGCAGTCAGGCCTGTCCTTCGGCCTGTGTGGCATGATGTGTGTCTCAGAACAGTCACTGGCAGCTCAGGGGAGTTTGAGCATTCGTGGCCAAGAAGGCCAATGGGATCCTGGCCTGCGTCAGGAGGAGCGTTGCCACCAGGTCGAGGGAGGGGATCCTGCCTCTGTACAGCTCTGGTGAGGCTGCACCTGGAGTATTCGGTGCAGTTCGGGGCTCCCCAGTACAAGAGGGGCATTGAGCTTCTAGAGAGGGTCCAGTGTAGAGCGACAAAGATGATTAAGGGACTAGAGCACCTATCTTATGAGTAAGCGAGCTGGGCCTGTGTAGCCCAGAGAAGAGAAAATCGAGAGGAAATCTGATCAATATGTATATTCTCCCTGAGGGAGGATGGGGCCAAATGTGGTGGCCAGTGATAGGACAAGGGGTAATGGGTACAAATTGAAACACAAGAAGTTCCATCTCCATGTGAGGAAGAACTTCTACCCTGGAACAGGCTGCCCAGAAAGGCTGTGGAGTCTCCTTCTCTGGAGATCTTCCAAACCCACCTGGATGCCACCCTGTGCCACGTGCTCTGGGTGTCCATGCTGGAGCAGGGGGGTTGGAGCAGATGATCCCTAGAGGTCCCTTCCAACCTCAACCATTCTGGGATTCTGTGATTAACAGTATGTTCAAGAGGTAGCAACAATCTTGTATCATGTACACTCAGAGGAGATGAACTTCTTGGTTTTACCAAGCAGATTGTGAGCAGGTTAGTATTTTAAGCAAAACAAAAATCTATAGTTTGCATTCCTGGTTCTGCACTGGGGCAAAATTCCTTCAAATTTCATACTGGTACCTTTTATATTTGATATTTGTTCTTGTTCTTTAATGTATTGCTGAGAAGCAAAAATAATTCTTGAGGGACTAAAAGGCAGTATTATGGTCTGAAATAAAATAATAGAAGTGTTTTTTTTTTCCCCCTCTGAATTCTTGGTATTACAGGCAGCATTGATTTAGTACATAAATTATTCAATCTACCTCTCTGAAACAAGTGTGAAATATGCTGAGAAAAAGAATCGCTACCTTAAATGCATTTTTAAAGAGATTGAACTGTATGCTTGACAGAAAGCTTTATAATCAAATGAGTGACAAATCTGCTATTTTGATACTTGGTTATCTTAAATTGCGTTTTTTTTTTCACATGCAAGGTTTTCCCTGGGAAAGTCTGGTTGAGAGAGTTCTCAAATCATATGTCAGATGGCTCAGAATAATGTTATTAACATTGAGCAAGACCAGTATTTTAGGTAAAGCAGCTACTCCTTTTCCCCCAAAGGACAAAACCAGAAACTAACAACAAAGGGAAAAATGTTTTATATATCTGCCCTCGCAGCCATTGCCCTAATAAATTCTGGTACCCGTGAAAGTCGTAGGGAAAACCACACCCGAGTGGTAGGAGAGCCAGAAGAACCAAAACATTTTTATTAACTGCGTGGCCTCTTGCTATTTTGGGCTTTCTGAAATAAGGTTTTCAGCCTATTGCTCTATTGCAGTGATTAAAGACAGTGGTATATACTGCATCTTTTGGCAGGAGGTAGGCTACAACAGCAATTCTCTCTTGGCACCCTTAGAGCAGAAACTTCAGGAAATTATGAGAGTCAAGTTTTACTGTGTCAGAAAGCCCAGAGGTGTCTGCTGGGGCCCGCACAGTAGTTGGAGAAGTTGCAGGAGGGGAAATGTCCTGGTGTGGGGCATCTTTTTGAAAGCCGTTTGCTGGCTGGCTCCTGTAGCTCCCTGGCAATGTTAAAGCTGCTTCCTGCCTCCCCTGTCCCCAGGAGGCTCTTTGGGAGATGCTTGGTAAGTATTGCCTCTCGTAGGGGATGCGTCTTTGGGCAGCTTTCGCACCCTGAGCTCAGGGCAAAAGAGAAATGCTAGATGACCTGTCAGTGTTGCTTTTAGCGTCTTGTTTCTGATATCTACCTTTACAGGATGCCTACAGGCCTTAATTTGGAGCAGCAGTGCAAGGGCAATTGCAGTAGCCTTGTCAGCAGTGTTTGCTGCTCGGGATGTGGTCTCTGCAATCAGATATTGACCTCTGAATCTTAAAAGAGAGCAAAGAAGTCATGAAATGAATTGCCTTCCAATTAAATTAATTGCTTACACAATTTTTACTATATTTTACTATATGCAATATTGTTCGCGGATATGGATATCCTTGACCACAGTTTCTATTGCAAAGTCTCACTTCAAGGTCAAGAGTGTGGTATTTTAACAAATAATCTGGTTCTTTATCTTAAACTAATGGGAAAAAAGGCCTCTTTTCAGGTAATAAATTTCATGTTGTCTTCTAAGTATTAATTTGTGCTATGCTTAAGTTAATAAGATCACAGAAATCTATACAGAAGTAGCATTGTTAGATTAAAAAAGAAAAAAGAAAAGAAAAGATAGCACACCATTTGGAAAAATTCAACCTTGAGCTTCAAAGATAAGATATTCCCTTTCAGAGCCACTCTTCTCGTAAGTCAGTTTTATGGCATGCTTATATCGTGTATATCCTTTTATGCAGTTGCTTGTATGCTGTAATACTGGGTTATCAAATTCTAATGTTTCCATTAACAGCACACTTTACTTGTCACAAAAGCACTACTGGAAAGTTCTTGACAGATTCTGTGCATGCTTTTAAATTCTGATTGCCGTGTTATCTCTATCCTCGGCCACTAACCCGCGTCTGATCTTTTACTCTTGTCTCTGTATCACCAGGCCTCCTGAACCTGTTTACAGCACTGTGAACAAACTGTGTGATAAACCACCTTCTCCTAGGCACTATTCCCCTGTCGAGTGTGACAAAAGCTTCCTCCTTACAGCTCCCTATCCCCACTACCACGTAGGCCTGCTCCCTGACTCTGAGATCACCAGGTACTGCATGCGCTTCTTCCTCACCTCCTCTCGTAGCGTGCATGGGCGGCACTAGGTTTAGCTCATAGTGCACATGCTCACTTACAGATCTGCCTTTTCTAAAGCTTTTGCTTGTTTTTAACCATGCTTTCACTTCTGCACCACTGGAAGGCACATGCTGCTTCAGTATATAATTTTTGGTCATCCAAAGTCCAGCTATGGATATGGATTATGTTTTGATCTATAGGAATGGTGCTCCAAAATAGGTCACATCATATGTAGTATACTTTACAACTTCATTCAGAGTTTGTTACTCTAGAAAATGGAAAATGACGAAGAGATCACTGGAAGCTGTAGTAATTGGGCTCTGTTCAGTCACATTATTTCTGTTTTGTGCTTACTCTGTTCACGGGACATCTTTGGATTTGGAGGGTAGCTTTCTAAGCCATTAAGAAGAAATTGAGCAAAAATAATCACCTCCCTCACCAAGTGATGGCTGAGAGTACCTCCAAAATTTATCATTCCTTAGGCTAGCTGTGCTCTAAGTGGACAGTTAGTAAAACCTGAAATGGTGAACAATTCCATAACTGAAATCATGAAAGACATTGCCATAAAATATTGTCAGTGATTTACCTCCTGAGAAGTATTTATTTAAGGAAAACATACCATCCCAAACCGAATGATACTGTAGCCCAGTTATACTTCAGTAGTTTATTATGATAGTGGTAAACTATTCACACACAGGACTTGAGAGACACAGGAAAATCTTGTCTCCAAATTTGCAACAAGGCATTCAGTGCTTCTGTTTTTGTATGTTTGCTTGCTTTGTCAGAATGCTTCACAAGGGAGAAAAACTATGATCTTTTATATTCAATAAAAAGAGAAAAGTAATTGTATTTGGAGATTTGATCAAAGACATTTACCACAGAAAGCACTTCTAAAAGAAAAGAGTACTAGGGGAAGAGGAGAGAAGCGTGTGGGGAAAAAGAAAGGTAAATTAACGTAGGGTACAATATTGGCAAGAAACCTCAGGGATTACAAAAACAGCTGTGAAAGGCACTGCAGTGCTATGAAATAGAAAGCTAAATTAAAAAAGCAATAAGCCAAATACTAATAAAGAATTCAACAGATTCGGTAAGACCATATAGAAGCTATCAATTTATTAGAATGTGTGTCAGTTTTTTAAAAAGTGCGTGGTTTCTAAAATTTGTTAAAATGCTTAATCACTGGAAAACTGGACAACACAATTAGTCTAGCTATTCAGCACAGTGAATATGAGTGAAAAACACTGAGACAGGCAGAATTTTATGAAGGTATAAGTAACTCCAGACATGGCAGGACTAATGGATCTATCCATAATATTTGAATGTCTCTGCAATTACAGTCTTAAAGGAAATAACTAGCCAAAAAGCAGTAAAATTACTTCAGATCTTCAAGTATTACAGAATAATTTATCTTTAATCATCGCAATGTGTCTTCATGTTTAGAGAATGAATACAGACAAGATCATTATAAAAAAAAAAGAAAAAACTTATTTAATTCTCACTTTTAGAAACAACCACGGAGTAGAATACGTGGGTTCTAGGGAATCCATGGCTCTGGGCAATTCTGGGGGAAATTGTGGTTCTAGAGAAGTTTCTGGTGTATATCCAGAACATGGATTAGGCTGTGGCGTGCTAGCCATAGACATGTGCAATCTCTTGCTGGGAAAAGAAAAAAAAAAAAAGAATGGTAATCTCTAAGGATAAGGTTGATGGGATGTGATAAGGTATGTTCTGTTAAGGGGACCTCCTGCAGTCAGTTAACTGAGATGCCAATAACCATTGGAGCCCTAGACAGATAGTAGAACTATATCATTTTTGCCCCTGGAGGTATAATTTTCTACCTCCTTTTTTTTACTGTGTGATTTATTGAATTTTTGGTCATCAGACATTGGATGACCTGACATCAGAATTTAAAAAGCCATTTTTTGTTCTGCTGGGCATCAGTTAAGGGTTCTCTTTAAAGACGTGGTTTTATTTCTCTTAATTTTAGAGTGGGGTAAAAGCAAGCTGTAGTCCCTATATATTTCACCTGTTCTTTTGGTTCAATGAGCCAGCAAAAACTGTGGAGAATATAAAAGATGAGGAAAAACGTAACTCATGGTTGAATGCTGTGCGCTGTTCTCCCCTCCATGCTGTGATAGTAGCAACTGATTGCTATAATCTGGGCTTTCTTCCCACTGTGAAGTAACATTCAGACAGAAAACCTGACAGTTTTCAATATTGTCAAGTACTGTCATCTTTTCCATGCAACTCTCTGAGTAACTGACTGAGAAGGAAGATTCGTGAAACACTTTTCACCAAGTACCTTTTGTGAAGAAAAAGAGAGCTTTGCAAAATACACAAGGATCAGATTTCCACATGAATGTATTTTTGGCCTGGCAACAGATTTTAGAAAAGTATTAATCCATTTAAATCCTAGAGCAAATTGCCAGTTATTCAGAAGTGTTTATTGCACTGAGCCTTGAATTTCACAAAGGCAACACTTCTCAGGCTGTATTGGTTTGAATATTCGTCCTTGAATTTCATGTTGTTTTCCTGAGCACTTGGAATAGTTAATCTATAAGAAGATTGTCTAAATTCTAGATGGGTGATACTTTCGTCCTTGAATTTCATGTTGTTTTCCCGAGCACTTGGAATAGCTAATCTATAAGAAGAGCTTGTCTAAATTCTAGATGGGTAGTTGCTATTTCTTGGAAACTCATGCCTCAAAGAAATCTTCCAAATAGCGATTAAGTACTTTGAAAAGTCTTCCTTTTTTTCCACTGGAATTCCTCAAAGTACTACTCCTCCAAGTTATATACTTTCTTGCTCTCCAGTCAAATACAACATTATCCCTGTCCTCCCACAGATTTCCTAGAGAGCATTTTTTGTCATTATAACTTTAAGTCTCAGATCTGGGGAGGAAAGGGCAGGGATCTGCTTATTTTGGTAACCGATATCATTGTAGTGTATCTGTGTGCCCCAATACTGAGAATCTGCTGGTGAATTGCAAGAAATTAGGATTAACAAGTAGCTCTCCAGAGGAAGACCATGATGCCCCATTCCCCTCCCAATTTAAATGCTTGTAAGACAGCCAGCACCCTTCAGATTGCTGCTGCAGACCTGTTGTCAGCTAGACCTCTGATGATGGTTTTGTCAACACTCATTAGCTCCATATGCAAACAGAATTCATAGGCCAAAGGCCTATTTGTCTGTAATAAGTTCAAGTTTATAATCCTTGCTTTTATGATGGTCCATGTCCTCTTCTGAGAAGTTTGGAAGTCTAGGACAATATCCTCCCATTTTAAGAGGGAGGATATTTAAAACCAATTTGTTTCTAGGTTGAATTATCATTTCATGTGAATTGATACTAACAAACAGGGCAATGTCTGTGTACCATAGCTAAGAACTGTGCCTCAAGCTCTGTAGGCAGAAGGTAAAGAGAGAATTTGAGAGTAGCTGGTTTTCCTTAGAGAAAGCAGGAAAGGATGCAAACTGTTAATATCCTGGCATGTGCCATTAATGACAACTAATGTATGATTAGAAGTTTACTGGCAGCAAAATAAAATTGGAGTTCACGGATATAACACTCTGCAAACAAGGGACTTTGTTGCTGAGTTATATAACAAGAAATGTGCTCCCGTTTTTTGCACTGACAGTATCAGTCATACTCAGTACTGAAAAAAATGCATTTCAAAAATGCATAAGTTTTGTCCAGAGCTCTGTGTTTGTGGCTTCCCTGCCCTCACTGAAATCTTTTTGGCACTCTAACCACCAGCATAGGTTTTGCTAAATGGCAGTCCCAGTATTATTGATTTGTCAGGTCTCATTTTCATCAGTATTTGTTTCTTATTTTAAACTTTGATCAAAAACCGTATGATTCCATCCACAATTTTGATTTCATATAGGTTGAGGAATTAAAGGTAGGGTTTTATGCTTAGCGATGGGAGAAAAAACTGGGAATATGGCCCTTCCCAACACAGTACAAATACGTTAAGTCTTGTTCAACTTAAGTTTAGCTTTTGTGAATTCACAGGTCTTCCCTGTGGTGTTTGAATGCCTGGGTTGGGAAAAATTAACTTGCTTTTTAAACCAAGATTGGTATCTTGAAGCCAGGCCAAGTCCTGCCTGAGACTATGATCTGCAATCTTCGGCAAGGGAGTTAATTATTTCGTGCTTTGTTTTCCCAGTCTATGAAATGGGTTTCATAATGATCTCATAGAGCTACTCCAAAAACTAATGATATCTGAATCATTTGCATACTGTTATTAAAAGGATTTTTTTTTTCTGAATGATTTTAAGGTATTAGATGAATGCAGCTAATGAGGTCATTTCTTCAGGCCATCACTACTTTTTCACCAGTGGGGATTAGAAAGAGAAGATAATAATGACACAAGGCCTTAAAGCAAAATCTCTTGAGAAGAAGAGCATATTTTCATGCATATTCAGTGGTGACTTAGTATTGTGTAAATATAAAGAATGAGACAAATAAAATTGCTGAAAGATAGAAATGCTGAAATATGCATGATGCATAAGGAAACTATCAAGTCCAGAATTCTGATAATAGTCAAATGGGGCTGCTTGTGGTTGAACTCCCACACACACATGGGAGGGAGCCTGCAATCCAGTAGGCATCAGTACTGCTTAGGATCATCTGGCTTAATTTTAGGGATCCGTGAGACCCCTCCATAAGCAATGTAGGGGTGAGAGGGGGAAGGTGCCGATCTCTTTCCACTCTTCCTCCCAAGAAGCTAGGATAACTGCACTTCTAAAAGCAATAGGTATGAGTGGTGAGCCACTCTGGTACTTATTTTAGTGGTGTCATTTCTCATATTTTAATAACTGCTGCCTTTTTTTTTTTTTTTTTGCTTGACAATATTGTGCTGGAAACAGGCATTTTGTCAAAATGATGCATAGAACTGTAAATAAAACTGTGTGGCAAGGGTGCCTTCCAGCCATTACTGAAATCCATGTTGTACAGGAATAACCTGCTTCCCC